TCTAGGTGGTGGAGATACCTGGGATGGTATGTGTACTGCTTTTTGAAAGTTCATTAGCATCTTGTCTTTTGCGTATGTTTATTCACTAACAGCTAACGTTTGCTTTTTTTCTCTGTAACATTTGTCTGTAGCATGAGAATGTCTTTTTAATAAACCACATAAAAGGTCTGATTCTGAGCAATGCTGAGCACCTGCAAGCTTTCATCGAGAGGTTTTTGTACTTAGCAGCTCTTGGGATCAGGTCCTTGAACTGTCCGTGGCGGTTTGTCTTCAGGTGGTTATTTATGGCTGACAGAAGATTTAATCAGGAGTTTTAGATGAAATTAAACTAAAACACTGAACATCCGAGAACACTGGATATTTTAGACAGTGTTTGCTCTCTGCTGCTAAATGGGTGCTGAACAATCAAGGGTTTTTGGAAGCAATAAGCTTCTTTTAGGCTATGAATTATCAGTAATGTTAAAAAGGGAAAAAAATGCAAACTTAACATTTGCTGTAAAAGAAATGAAAGTATTGGGTAACAAGTCATAAAGTTTTATTTAGAAATAGCTGACTGCAGCTGGAAAGGCAATAAATTCTTGGTTTCTATTTTAGCAAGTGAATAACGGTGTGCATTGAGTGCTTAATATCACTTGAAAAGTAGCAAATTCCTAACTTGATTTTTTTTTTTTAAATTTAAAAGACTCAGTTAAATGTTTTATTGAGTCTGAATGGATTGGTTGTAAAGAATTTTAGTGCAGCTTTAAATTTTGAAGGCAAACACCTTTTTTTGAGTGTATCTTTTTTGAGTGGCTTTAAACAATCCCTGCAACTGTAATTTCTTCTCTTACTAATAAACTGCACTTATTGCGATGACCAGCTGGCCATGAACATAGGGGATTTATGATATGAGCAAAGCGAGTGTGGTTTACACAGCTATTTAGATGTTACTTGTACCTTGTATGTGTGTTATTATCCGAGCCTCTTTTTGACTGCTCCCTGTAAGGTGTGTCTTTGGAAATCTTTATTTTCAGATTGTGATTTGAAGCAATTTAGAGATTTAAAAACGTAGTAAGGTAGCTTCAAAGTCGAGTATGTCCCTTCAGTGGAAAATGGACTGGGTTTTGTGACTTTTCTGAGGAGAGCTGATTGCCCAGGGCTTGTCTGTGGAATGATCTCGAACTGCTCTTGGTCCTGGAAAACTCTGAAAACTACTTGCACGATTTATCAGTCGCTAAGTGGACAGTTCTTTGAGCATATTTAAAAGACCCTCTGATTGACGGATCACAAAATCTTGGCTCTCCGATCCTTCCATTTGCTGAACGTTCTTCTGTTGTCGCTGGTTTGGTATTTTCCTCTTCTGCTTTCGTGACGTACCAGAACCCGAAGGCAGCTCCTGCCCCCTGCCAGGCCCCTTTGGCGCTGGCTCTGCCCCTGCTGTGCTTCAGCTCAGCTGGAAGATCGGGAGATGTGATACCTCGCTTCAGAGAGTGATCTCGTTTTGCCAGCATCATGATCTTGAGCTAAATTCTCAGTCGTTTTATTTTTGCAAGCTTAACCACTAGGAAAAGCTGTAATGTTAAGATAGCTTGCTTGGAATATATTGGACGATATTGGCAAAATAGATACCGGTGTGTGGTATTGATCTTGTGCGTTCTTCCCTTCTGTTTCTCTGGAACAGTATTGAAAACAAGCGGTCTGTACTGACTCTGAACTTGCTTGTCTTCTGCCTCCTAGTTGGATGTGGAGAAAACATTTTCCCGTTTATTAAATACCAGAGAGATGTGTTAGGAATAGTGGCACTGCAAAAGCTAAACTTTGCTATAAAGGTAGAAAGTTTCCAGCTGTACAGACTGCATTTTCCAGAACTACTTCTGAAAGAGGAAATTAAGTGTAACTGTTCATACATCTTAACAAACCTGATTTTTGAGTCAATAACAGACTTTCTGATGCTTCTGAAATCATTCCTCAGCTCATCAGAACAAGCTAGAAGAGATGATTAATGAGTTAGCAGTGGCCATGACAGCTGTAAAGCACGAACAGGAGTACATGGAAGTTCGTGAAAGAATACATAGAGCAAGTAAGTGTCTGATTTAATTCCTTCTCCCCTCTCGAAGGACCTTATGAAATATGATTTAAAATAAAGTTAATGGAAGCTATTCCAAGTTACTAAAAAGAAAAAAATATAGAACAATTTTTGACGGACCTACCCATGCAGTAAAGGATGTAGTTGGTGTTTGCAGTCTTCTCTAAATGGGCTCACCTCTCGTGTCATGGAGATTGTTATGCAAAGTAATATCTGCTTAATTGGTGTAAGTTCTACAGTTCTGTGAATGGTGCGTTCTTTAAGGTACTGGTGATGGTGTGGTTCCCAGGGACAGGCTTTGGTTGAGCTGTTCCTTCATCCTTGAAGCGTGTGTGACTTAACTGAGCCAAAGTAGTTTTAAAGTATTTTGCTGAAATAGAACAGGACTGCTGTTACTTTCAAGTTCAGAGTGTGGCTCCAGTCACAACCCTCACTTCCTGACATACACCTTAAAAATACGACTGAGAGTGCCAAGTGGTGCATTAGAGGAAGCTCAATGAGAATAAAGGGCAAGTATTTTTAATGTGAAAATACTGCATTGTATTAAAGCACTGGCTCCTCTGCTCTTTGAACCAATGAATATTTCCAGTTTTATGACTTTTGTTACTAATGGTCTGATTTAAGAAAGCGCTGAATTTTTAGAGCCGAAGATGATGGACCTTTAGAGATTAGAGATTCCCCGCTTGACTTTGAGCCTGTAATATGCAAGTGTTACTTGAAAAAGCAAGTGGTTTCTGTTTGGCAGTTGCAAGATGGGCACAGCAGAGTGTGGTGCAGGTCTAAAGTCGAGGTTAAAACACCTGCTTGTGCAGCACAGTTCAGGCTGTTCAGAAAAATACCCCCCTCAGCTCTCACCTGTGAGGTGCAGCGTTTCTGTAGTGGTTTACGTGCAGTACTTTGGTTCTAATCACAACGTGGTTTAAGTTTGTTTTAAATGCTTCGTTACTTACTTTTTTTTTTTCCCTCCCCGCAGTTAATGACAACACAAACAGCAGAGTGGTTCTCTGGTCATTCTTTGAAGCTCTCGTACTAGTTGCCATGACACTGGGACAAATCTACTATCTGAAGAGGTTTTTTGAAGTCCGAAGGGTTGTTTAAGAGTACTTTTCTGGTCCCGGATTTCAGTTCACTGTCTACCAAACATCCTGGTCACAAAAAAAGTCATTTAGTTTCTGAACCCTCTTTACTGAACTGTAAAACTTATTTGCTTATGTTCCTTCCTAGTTAAAAATGAATTGTTTTTATCTATCTTCTGTAGCAAAAGCTGTGCTGAAATCTTGTCACCTAATTGGCATAATTTCTTTCACTTCAACCTGCCTAGTCTGTATGCTAAGCAAGGTCCAAGCAAGCTGCAAATGCTGTAATTCACTGTAGTAACAAGCGACGTTGGTGTCTTTTCTAACTTCTTTTTTCCCGTTTTCATGAGTACTTGCAGTTCTATGTGGGGAAATGGTACACGGCCCTAACACGACTGTCTGCATTTCTGGCATCTTTAACCCTGCGGTAGGTGTTACGAAAGCGAAACAAACTCTTCTTCACTTACATAAACTGCCAAGGAGAGGCGATTGGGACTTTATTCTGATCACAAATAGAGGACAGCTGACCACCTCCAGTCGAGTGATCATACCTAGTTGCTGTTTAAAAGAAAGTCTTCAGTAACTATCCAAATTACACCGACTTGTTCCCAAAGTTTTTACATTAAATGGGCGATATGAAAATACATTTTTCTCCTCTCATTACTGAATGTTCATCAAGCGGTTTTTAGTCTTTCACAAGTTTTATACCAAGCCAATCGTGTGCGGTGTCTTGGCAAACAGCAGTTAACCCTTTGGTGGTGGCAGGTCCGAAGCTCAGACTGTTGGCACTACTGAACGCGTTGGTGTTCAGGAAACCCGGATTCCTGATGCCAAAGGGTTAACGACTCGGGAGTTTATCGCGATGCTATGCAGCCCTTGTATTTAAGTTAAGTGGCAGTCTCTGCCGTTCTCTGATCATAATTAGCATAATGCTAAATACCGGTGTGTTTTCTTTTTCAGGCACATGTAGATTTGTTTTTGTATAAAGTTACTTTCCTCGGTATCTGATGATTGATCTAAAAATAAAAGAGATGTCTGATGTGGGTGCTGAGCCAGGATTATGTTGTGACTGATGTATATTAGTTGTAATCATTTTTGGGGGTGGGGTGGGGTCTTTTCCAGGGAGCAGCCTCTACAAGTAACACACAACAGTTTTGTACAATTAATTTAAAATTTGTTACAGGTTTTCATGTTCCAGGTAAAGTTTTTTCAACCTTGGGCAAACACTTGCAGCAGTTCTTCAGCAAGGTGGCTGTTACACCTTATTGCGACTGTTGTGTGCCAATATTTTTGTGTAAAACACTTAATTGAATTCAAGATGTACATTTAAAAATTGCTTGTGAATCTAAATATGACCCAGGTTCGATAAATAAACCAATTCTTTAAAAAAAAAAAAAGTAACTTTGTATTTTTTGTTCTTTTGAGCTTTTTTTCTTTTAACCATCAAGCTTTTTCATGGAGTATCTCTTAAGATGTCAGGAATTCAAGCAGTGTCCTGCTTTGAGGGCACATAGAAGAAATCGCTGGTAATTCTGAACCTGTTACCTGTGAGCAGGGAAACAGCTCCGCTGTCAGCTGCAGGCGGCCGGGTGTCACAGCGCTGCTGTGTGACCCGCAGATTTGCTGTGTGACCCGCAGATTTGCTGTGTGACCCGCAGATTTGCTGTGTGACCCGCAGATTTGCTGTGACGGAGTGCGGACCGTAAAAATAAATGGTTTTTTTTGCTGAAGGACGTCAGCGGCCGGCGGTGCCTGGGCCGGAACCAAGGTTTTTGGCGCCCGTTTCCGCGGGGCCTTGCTGGGGCCGGGCCGCGGGGCGGGGGGAGAGGCCGGGCGGCGGATGCGGCTGAGGCGCCCGGCAAAGATGGAGGCGGTGACTGAGGGGAGCTGGGAGGCGCTGCCCGTGGCGCTGAGCCCGGGCGTGCTGCCGG